ATGCCAATGTGAAGGATGTGACAATAGAGAACTTTTCTGTGTCAGCTCGGGGTAAAGAACTCCTTAAGAATGCATCAGTGAAGATATCTCATGGGAAGAGGTATGGTTTAGTTGGGCCCAATGGAAAGGGTAAGTCCACACTGCTGAAGCTCCTTGCCTGGAGGAAGATACCAGTGCCAAAGAATATTGATGTGCTTCTGGTTGAGCAGGAGGTTGTTGGTGATGATAAAACGGCGCTTGAAGCTGTTGTTTCAGCTAATGAAGAACTTGTTAAAACCCGACAAGAAGTGGCTCTTCTTCAAAATGCAAGTTCTGTTGATGAAAGTGGAGACAAGGATGATGGTTATGAAGATGATGCAGGAGAGAAGCTTGCTGAGCTGTATGAGAAGTTACAGTTGATGGGATCTGATGCAGCTGAAGCTCAGGCATCAAAGATTCTAGCAGGATTAGGTTTTACAAAGGATATGCAGGCCCGCGCTACAAAATCATTTAGTGGGGGTTGGAGGATGAGAATTTCTTTAGCCAGAGCGCTTTTTGTTCAGCCAACTCTATTATTGCTTGATGAACCAACAAATCATCTTGACCTGAGAGCTGTTCTCTGGTTGGAGGAGTACTTGTGCCGTTGGAAGAAGACTTTGGTGGTCGTTTCACATGATAGGGATTTCCTAAATACAGTTTGTAATGAGATTATTCATTTGCATGATTTGAAACTTTATATCTACCGTGGAAATTTTGATGATTTTGAAAGTGGTTATGAGCAGCGCCGCAAAGAGATGAATAAGAAGTTTGAGATTTATGATAAGCAAATGAAAGCAGCCAAAAGAAGTGGAAATCGGGTTCAGCAGGAAAAGGTGAAGGATCGAGCTAAGTTTGCAGCTGCTAAGGAAGCAGCAAAAAGCAAGGGTAAAGGCAAGGGCAAGGTTGATGAGGATGATGCCCCAGCAGATGTTCCACAAAAGTGGAGGGATTACAGTGTTGAGTTTCACTTCCCTGAACCTACTGAACTAACACCTCCTTTGCTGCAGCTCATTGAAGTGAGCTTCAGCTATCCAAAGCGGCCAGATTTCAGACTCTCAAATGTTGATGTTGGCATTGATATGGGGACTCGTGTCGCCATTGTTGGGCCTAATGGAGCCGGGAAATCGACACTGCTGAATCTTCTTGCGGGTGACTTGTCTCCAACTGAGGGTGAAGTTCGAAGAAGTCAGAAATTGAGGATCGGAAGATATTCCCAGCACTTTGTGGACCTCCTAACAATGGATGAAACACCTGTCCAGTATCTTCTTCGTCTTCATCCAGATCAGGAAGGGCTCAGTAAGCAGGAGGCTGTTCGAGCAAAACTTGGTAAGTTTGGATTGCCTAGTCATAATCATCTTACCCCTATTGTCAAACTATCAGGAGGGCAGAAAGCTCGGGTGGTATTCACCTCAATATCCATGTCAAAGCCCCACATTTTGCTGTTGGATGAACCCACTAATCATCTAGACATGCAAAGTATTGATGCGTTAGCTGATGCATTGGATGAATTCACTGGTGGAGTTGTTCTTGTTAGTCATGATTCTAGATTGATATCGCGTGTATGTGATGATGAAGAGAGGAGTCAAATATGGGTAGTTGAGGATGGTACCGTCAAATTCTTTGATGGAACTTTTGAGGATTACAAGGACGAATTGCTGAGAGAAATTAAAGCTGAAGTCGATGATTGAGCTTGCTTTGACAACAGTCAATTTATGGCATCAGTTCATCCACATATATATATCTTGTTTTACAGTTGGTTATGTATTTGTACAATAAAAGTTACCTGCATCATACAGATGCCAGATTTTGGTCCTGCACTTTACCACCTCTTTTGCTCTGGCCTATTTATACAATTGAGTGTGATCACTATGTTGCGAGAGAAGCTATAAATTTTTTTGCTTTGGAGCAATTTTTCTTTTCAGCCGTTGAGTTCTTGGCAACTGATTGACTCCAATTTAAAATGTTCAAGGGGGGTACATTTTGAATATCTGTTCCTGTTTTTTTCCATTGCTAAATTTTAGGTGCACGAGTAACGTAATATTGTTCTTATGCTATTTGAATTATGTAGAAGCCCATAGAAACTATATATTCGGATTTATTCCCCCGCATAATTATGAATAGGTCTTGGAAGTGTTTCAAAATAATAAAATTTTCCCAGTAGCGGGAAAGCATATCGCCAAAAACTCAGTCCATTTGATCGTATTCATCATAGGGTAATCTATTTGAAAAATTCACTCGCCTCTGCATATTTCATTACATTTTTATGAGGTAAGTTCCACACTAAGTTTGATTGTATCAGATTTTGTAATCTCCCACCGCAATCCTCTAGGCAGATGCTATCATCTCTCTACCAACCCCATGCCATTAGCCACAACCGTTATATGACTTTATTTGAAAAAATTATTACATGCCTTCGTTTGGTTTTAAAAAAATTTTAACAAGTCAATTTAAAAAATTAAAAAAATGAGTTATAAAATTTTGATAAAAAACTAGGATCTTCTACCCGTGCGTTGCATGGATCATTGTGGTGCATGTAATTTTTTCGCAGGTTATGTATTATTGTGCTTGTTTAGGTGTAAGTTATATAAGAGGTGAAGATGGTTATCTAGTTGCCTGAAATGCATAAATGTAAGTTAATCCTAGAGTCAGAGTTCTAAATGTAATGTAATTATGGTAGCTGTCATGTTGATAATATGAAGTTGAAAGGCATCTCATGAATTGAATGATGTAGTCACTCTGAACGGACATTTTGGAAGACCTCCCAATATACCACACTACGAGTAATGTTGGGGGAAGACCGTCCGATAGGATCTTTTCCCCGTGCAATTATTGTTTATGGAGGCTCTTTGTTAAGTATGCATTATTCTATTTGATTAATTCAAGCGTAATAGGGGAGGTGAAGAGGAAAAACTATCATGTGAGATGCTTAAATATAAATAATTCTCATTCTATTACAATGCATCACAAGATAGTATTATGTAATTTTAACAAAGAAAGTTCTCATACTAATAGTGTGAAGACAACAGCCGGCCATGATGGTAAGAATGAGGTCATTCTAAATTCACATTCTGGAAGACTTCCCATAGACCACCTTTCAAGTAATGTTTGTGAGTTTGCTGTTAGAATCGAGGATTAATATTTGAGATCGTCCATATTCTTGACCCTTGACAATGAGACAAACAACTGTCCATGTGTGAACACCGACTGGGCAGGTACAAACTGACGTTGGTTGATGACTGGCCTTGACTCTTGTTGATGGTCATCGCAAAAAAAGACGATAAACAAGAATTGTCGTCTGATTATTTTGAATGGGAGGATGGTTTTTGACAGATTCATTCCATGCAGTATAAAAAAGCTAAATTTTAAAAAACTTAACACAGAGGAAAAACATACATTATAGTTTATGTTTCTTACAAAATACATGTGAAATTTTATACGGATCAAATATATATATAATATATAACAGAGACACAAATAACCATCATGGACATACATATAAATGCAAAATACATAAAATATGTAAATTATATTTTACATCTAATTTGTTTGGCCAAATTGTTTACATATAATTCAAAGTGTATATATATATTATATGAATATCTTGCATAATATTTAAAAATATATGTATAATGTATATGAAACAAAAAATGATTAACTAACATGGGGAAAAATCAATGAAAAAAAAACCAAAAATGGGGAAATATCTATCTAGAAATTGTAGCAGGTGATGTAATACTCAATTTAAGAAATTGCAATATGATTTAGAAACCTTAAAGGAACGACCCAAAACTATGGTAGAGATTTGGGGATAATAATTTTCATATAAGAATCTCAAATTTAAAGCGACAAAAATGAGAATATTCATCATATACAACGCAAATTTGAAAATATCAAGATCGGTCAATCCAGGAGCACACATGAATCTAACCACATTTAGGGGTAGGGTGCAGCTTGAAGGCTCTGAGCATGGTAAAAATAGGAGTCCTATATAAAATGTTTCACAACACAGGAAAGGCAGATGATGTTAGGCGACAAGACTAGAATGGATGGAGGTGAAAACCCACATGCATCGACAAGGGTAGTACCAGAAGAATCGCTTCCCGAGGGGGGGTACGAGAGACGATGCTGGAAGATTCATGCATCACGAAAATGGCAGTAGTACCTTGGAGTAGACCTTGGAGAGACGACGGGGGGGAGGACTGAGAATCCACTAGGAGAGTACGTAGGAGCCAGACAGCCACGATTATGATAATCCATAAAAGCCCATTATAGCATGAATAGTCCTACTAACCCGCCCAACCCGTTTTGCCTTAATCAGGCATCACAAAACTTCATAATAGAAGCAGAAGATATGAGATTTTTTTTTTTGGGGGGGGGGGGGGGGAGCAAGAAAAATTAATTAAAAAATTTTCACCCTGCTTCTGCGATTTTTTAAATCAAGTCCGCCCTTCCAATTCTGTTATTCCAAAAAGCGCTCCTTCACCTAGAATCCAGAAGTTCAAGGTGGCTAGGCCAAGCGCACAAAATAAATATTCAAGTCTCCTTCAAGCGTCCGAAATCACAAGAAATTTAGGTCTGATAAGCCTAGTCAGCGAAAACGTAAAATGACACAAGTTTCTTCTATATCTGCACTTAATAATCCTGACTTTGATAACAATGAATCCAACAAAATGCTCAGTCTCAGCATACCATCACAATGAACATTCCTCGTCCAACACATAAATTCTATCCAGATTTATCGAGTATAGACACCCAACAGATTCCAACTCAGGTGAATACACCGCTACTGCTACAGGAAAAAAAAAAAAAAGCATTCAAACATTGTAAATAAAAACTTGAGAGCCAAAATAAAAAGATTATAGATGGCACAAGAGGGATTAAAAGGAGTACTCACAATAAACTCCAGGGGAAAAAAAAATTATGAGCTAAAATTAGGAGACAAAACAAGAATAAAAAGCCTTATTGAAGCTAAAGCCTTACAATGTTTTACTTTTCCACAAAATTGAAGGCATTCACTCAGTAAATCAGTTTCTAGCCTGCTCACGGTCCAATAACATGAGTTGAGGGTCGCATAGGCCAACCTCGAAGCGATGGAGATCCTGGACCATGTGCATTTCTGCTGGGAGAGAAAAGGCTCAGCTCAACAAATGGCCCTGTTGATGACCCAGCATTTTCCACTGTGCGGAAGGAAATGGACCCCCGCTTTGTTGAAGCATCAGAATCTCTAGCAGGACTAGAACCAACATTTTCTTGCACATAATCTTCCAGATGACTCTGGTTAGCAATGAGAGACATAAAATCATTATGATCATCAATAAACCTCCTAGCCTCTAGATCTTGTAGATTCCCAAGTGCTAAACAATCTGCAACTGGACGATATACAAGCATGCATATACAAACCCCAGCACAACATACAAGGGCAAGAAAAGCCAAGAAAGCAAGAACTTCAAAAGTAAATTGCTCAGGTCCAGATAAAACAGATAAACCAAGGAAAAGAAACCTTAATGGAAGGAAGCCTGAAACTGAGAATATTAATGTATAAACCCTCTTCTGCAAACCCTTATTAATAACTCGTCTCAAAATCCTTCTTCCAAGCCAAAAAAGGTAGGAAGTCAGGATAATGGCAAAAAGGCCAAGAAGAATGGTACTGAGTAAAGGGTAAGTACAGAGGGCAATATCTTGATCCCATGTCACTGAAGATCTAGCAGCTGTACTAGTAAAAATATGAGGCAACGTTTGTCCAGAACCCCTATTCTTGTCTAACTGAGGTCCAACTAAAACAACAACGAGCTGAAGAATAAACACCGGGAGGCAGTAAAGAAGAATACATCCCGCTGTATTCCAATTCCATTTTCGGCTCATAATCCCAGTCTCCAACTTCTGCAAAGGTGCACGGAGGAGAAACACAAGGGTAAGGAAGAGGCATGGTTCTGCAAACCCCAGATTTGATATAATGTAACATTTGCAAACAGTTTCGTGCCATTTTAGGTGAAGGATGCGTCTTAAATAAGTTAGCCGAATAATCTCACCAACACCCCACCAAATTGCAAATAGGATGAATGCAACTCTGATTATCCAAGGACCACTAAAATAATTGAGTTGAGCAAAACCTTGATGATAAATTCGAGAGCGAAAGTAAACTGAGTACACAATGCATAGAAAACCAAGAAGAGTCAAGATGGCTACGAGACAAATGGTCACCACACCGAATGCATCGGCAGCTAATCTCGTCAGGGGCATTACCCAAAGTACAGATTCCACGCATGCTCTCTGACAGCATGGATTCAAGAAATCCTCAGGTAGCTGTGGCTTCTATCCAAATTGCATGTGGTAGCTGAATTGAAATTAAATAACAACAATAACTCCACAACAATGATGACCATAAAACATTCCTGCTCAATCAAGGTAGCATCCTTCCAGACACACATCAAGGCCATGAGACTCTGAGGGAAAAACATCGACCTCAAAAA